GTTGAGCTCACATGTAAAACTTGTCATGTTTACAAGGAAGAGTATAAATCCTTGATAAGAGCCCTTCCTGCGTAACACAACTTTGCAAAAGTACGCACAGAAAAAATGTATTGCTCAATTTATTTATTTATTGTTTTATTTTTATTTGCCATCTCCTTTCGAAAAAAATCATTAAACACACCATGAGTCCGGTATAAAATGGGGGAATAAAACTATAATTTTACCTCCTCCCTTTTATAGTACAAACAATCCTCTTTATAAAGCAGGTATAAGCCATCTTCATTAACTATGCATTGCCTACAGCGCACATATAAAATTCCCTTTGATTAATAAGTCCTTAATACTAAATTGCTGACATCACACTTTTACACTGAAACAAACCAGGAATTTCAGGTGACTGACTTGCATGTATTTAAAGTACCCACAAAACAACACTGGAAAATATGCTCGCAAAAGAAATTACACACAAAAAAAAAAAGACATTCAGATTCCTATAAACTAAAATACTGGCTTTATAGGGCAAATATTATATTTTTAATGGCAGCCATGCTAATCTATTTGAGACACTAACATGAACAGAATATGACCAAATTTTTATCAATATTTGGATATTCTTGTGCTAAACTTATATTTCTCTTCTGATGTATTGTCAGATTATCTTTTAATAAGAAAAATGTGATTGAAGTTCTCGCTTCCCAAGCTCCGCTAAGGACTGTAACCCTGCAGGGCAACGGCCCAGTCTGCTAGTGGTCTCCCATTACAGCACACATGAATAGCGGCTGCTTGGTGACAGGTGTCTGGGAAAGCTGCACACAGTCAAGGAACCGGCTGTTCCACTGGCCTGATGCCACTGTGGGAACTCCTACCAACACATCTTTCCCTGTCTGTGCTCACTGGCACACCAAGCACTAAAAACACATCGTCCGACATGACTGGTGTATAGATACTAGTCTAGTGCTTGTTATTAAGAAGTATGGCTGGGTAAAAAAAAATATAGCCTTGATTTTAATCGATTCTCATTTTTCTCGATCTTGCTGTTTTCAGTTGATGAATGAACAACAGAACATTGCAGAGCACATCCCATCCAGTAACTCGCAATAAGCTTTGTTACTTTTGATATAAAACAAAGTGTCAGATTTTGAATACTCTCCATTTTATTACGAAATTTTTTAAAAAGACACTGACAGATCGCTTTTGCCGCCTCAGATCAAGCGAAGCGGCAGGTGAAATGATCATCTCTTCTGCTTTACTACTAGTTACAGCACAAATTAAACATGACTGTCTGGACATCAGAAGACATGTTAAAAGATACAGTACAACTTACTGAAATCCGTATCATGTCTCGTGTAATCGCTCAATCAGTACTTCAACCGTCAAAAGACGTCAATAAAATAGCTTGTAACAATATATCACGTAATGTTATATTTACCTCAGAAATGCCATTCGATGACCATAAACTCGTTAGTCAGGTTAAAAAAAAAACTTGAGGGGAGCATTTTGCTACATAAATGCACCATTTATATATTAATTATATATTTTTTTACTTTTCATCAGTATTTATTGTATGTTTGAATAAAATTTGTCAAGTTGTTGTTATGACAGCCACAATGTAAATGTTTATATTTCAAAAAACTAATTGTAGTGTGTAATTTAAGTGTTTATATACAAATCAGTTAATATTAACATTCAATATGAATGTAGTCCCTACCAACTGAATCCCTGTATAGTTACAGCATTAGTTGAGTTTTTTCATTGAGAAAATTTGCCATGTACTGTATATCAAAATTAATCAATATCAAATCGAATTGGAATCAAATCGCAAGCTTGTGAATTTAATCGAATCGTTAAGTTTATCAATACCCAACCCGACTAATAAGTCCCGAATACTTTTTAAACTGGGATCTGTGGCCCCTTAGTGCAAGGGAGTACTAGGGGGTCTGTGAAAAAGTGTAAACAAAAACAGTGTAATATTTTTTTTAATAAATTAATAATCATTTTTATTTATATAGAACCTTTCCAACACCCAAGGTCGCTTTACAATAATTACAGAGGTTAGGAAAGATTTTAATTAATTAAAATGAATAAATAAATAAATAACTCTTACAGTACAGAACTATAATGAGTTGAAAAACAAATGAATATAATTTAAATATTTTCCAAATAATATTTTAGACATATTTAAAGTATTAATTTTCACAGTATAAAAAATTTAAAATTTAGGATAGGGGGTTCCTCCCACAAGGATGATCGTATATAGGGTCCATGCATCTAAAATAATTAAAAAAAAAACTGATTTAGATAGTGAGGTAAGAAAATAATAATTCACAGCTCTATGCTGATTTAAGTGAAGAAACGTCGCTAGTAATGACGTTTCATGGCGGTCACGAGAATATTCGGGTTCGGTTCCGCCGTTGCCTTGGTAACGCGCTGAGCGGTCGCGGCTGATGATGGAGGGGGAGGGGGAGCCTGCCTGTCATCTCCATTATAAGCACATTAAGCGTGACATGTAGCACAACATATCCTTCGTCTACGATTCAAATCATCTGAAGAAATAAAAGATATGTGTGTGTCTGTGTGTATATGTATGTATGTTTCACGATCGCATCGCCATTAACAAAACAGAATAAAATCGCGCTGAAGGTCGGGCTAGGCCACTGGGTTAACGTTACATTACTGAAGCGCGAGCGTGAGGTTTGCACGGGGCATTAGCCAAGTTTAGCCATTCTGAGCATGTATACACATTAAGAGTATATTGATTTTTGCGCGCCGAAGGCAAGCGAATGAATTGAGACTATAAATATGCATCGGTCGACATTAGGAAGCAGAAAGCGGTTTCATATCGCGTGAACCGGTTGTAACATTACTCTATTTGCTTGATTTCGCAGCTTATGCAAGCGTATAACACATGAAACCCTAAAACTCTAATTCTATATTTTACATTTTATAAAACGCCATTCATCGCATGATGATTAAAAATAACAGGCTGCATGTCAAGCCAATCAGGAACAGGCGACCCGGGCTATAGTAACGTTAGCTAACGCGGAGCTGTAAACAGGCCTATTACAGAAATAAAGCTAGAATGTCTTCCCGTTTCATAGGGGTCAGTTCTGTTCGCAAATCTGCAAAAGCGAATTACTGCATCCCTGCCATGTGCTGCAGATTTGTTTACACGCGTTTATGAAATGCAATTCTGCCCCCACGAGCCAATTTCTAGCTGTTAAGCCATGCACAATGAGCCCGACTGCAGCAAAACTACATATTTATATGAAGAATGCAACATTTAAACGAGGATGCACTGATGATTTTCGACGATAATGGCTTACCTTGAGTCAACCGAGAGTGGTCGATAAAACCCCAGGCCTTGTATTATGCTCGCAACCGAGAGATTCAGCCAATTCGGTACAAGAAGCTAAAGCAGGTCGGCTTGCTGTCTAATACAAACCGTCCTCGCTTTGGCCTGGAAATATATCTGTATACGATTGTCGACTGCTCGGTTCAACAAAAACATATCGTTAAAATAACATATGCTCGGTCATAAGCGAAGACCGATAGAGATGATTTAAAGGATCGTGTAAAATTGTGGATAGGTCTGCAATTGCACGCTTGGTCGATACAGACTGTCTTCTCAACGTCGCCCACTAGGGAAAAATAAGTGCGTCCCTTCTATGGAGGAATTTGTAAATAACATTCAGGGCATATACGGTCTCGGGTTTATCAGAGCTGTTTTCAGACAAACGCCTGCAAGGAACTGCATGAGAACTAAAAGGGAGCAAATGTATCAGATGAATAAATGGACGATATAAAGCTGTCAGACAATATACAGTACAGTGACTCTCTTGGACTGAACCGATCCTGAGAATAATACGACTCTCAGAATCATGGGAATTGTAGTGAACCCTATAAAAGGATTTTCATTCTTTTTAGTAATTCCCCCATCTAATTTAATGCTTCTTTGCAGGAAAGATATATGCAATAGCCTATATTTTTATCCTGAAAATAAACTCTAAATGAAATCAGATTATTCACAAGGTAAAATGGCAAACAATAAAGCTAGCCGCCTGAAATGTTTGACTGACATTTCTCCACATTCTAATAACTTCGTACTAACATACCCAATCAATAAACTTGCATTGCTCATGTAATTGAGCCTAATAAAAAGGTACAATTATTTGAGTGAGGCTATTTTAACAGGTGAGTTTAAAGTTCACCCAAAAATGAACTTTTTTGCCACTCTCAAGTTGCTCCAAACCTGTACAAGTTTTTCTGTTTAATATTTTGAAGAATAATTGGTAACCAGACAGTTGATGGACCTCACTGACTTCCATAGAGAGAGAGAAGAAAAAAAAACTATGGAAGTCAATGGATACTGTCATCTGTCTCGTTACCAACATTCTTCAAAATATATTTTGTGTTCAACAGAAGAAACTCATTTGGAACAACATGAGGGTGGCTAAATGACAATTTTAATTTATTAATGCATCATCCCTTTAAGGGGCCGCTTACACGACAACGTGTTTTAACAATTAATTTACACGACAACAGCGTTTTGGGGGCTTGGGAAGAAAAAGAAAAAAGCAAACTTTTGAAAACGGGTTTCAAAGTGCAAGTTTTTTTTAAACAATACGGTTATGGTCCGTGTAAACTACAAAAACTTGAATTTGTGAACACTGTGACAGTCTATAGCTGCGTAGTGTTTCTTTACAATTTGACATTGCCAACTACCATATGCATAATACAGCATTAAGGGTACATTTGTTGTGTAAATGGATAAAGCATAACTACTATACAGAGGGTAATTAAACTTCCAAACAATGAGAACATTGTGCAGAACACATTAAAATGGTCAGTATTTGACAAACTGTAAACTTGTTCATCAAATCTGATTGGAATGTTCCAGGATCAACAATGATGAACTTGGTGAAAAGGTTTGCTGCAGATAAACCGCTATTGATACACCAACATAGATAGCACAACTAGTTAGTAACATAAGGAGAGTAAGCTATAGCCAGTCCACATCTTTATTAGTTTTGCTTTCCATTCATAGAGGTCCACACAAAAATAAGAAATAAAACTTCTAAACTTCCTGTTTTTAGAAAAACAGTGACGTGACAAACAGGAGGGAAATGTAGTGTCAAGAACAAAATAAATAGAACATGTGCTTTTGAAGGACACGATAAAATAATTAGAAAGTGAGGAACAAAGTAGCAACTTGGAAGTGTACAACATTTAAACATTCATCTGCAGAGGATGTCTTGATTGCAAAATACATAGTGCACAACATTCTGAACTAGGAGACGGTGATTCTAACGTGCAATTCTTCTAACGTCTAACACTGCTGGTAGAACAAGCTTTGCACCTGATCTGTGCAGACCAGTCACATCATTTGAGGAGACACTACGTATATCTCCAGAAAGGCTCTTCATGCAACAAAGGCGCCTGGTTTAGGTTGTGGTCAGTCTCGAGGAGAAATCGCAACCATCCTAGGACGTTTTCCTGTGCTGTTAGGTGACTACTAAAAGTATAGCCCAATCCAAGCTGAGAGGTTTGGTCTCGGTGGCATGGGACTCCAATCTGGACAGAATAATCCAAATTAGCACTGAAACCATCTGTACTTTACAAGAAATTACACTGGCTCTTCAAACAATAAATGCTTTGACTTGTTACATTTGCAAAGAGGTGCCGTGTATTCGACACAGAAGACATTTACACAAAACAGGATAGAGTATTCCACTTCAAATACAGCCATTTAATATTTAGGTCTGACCTGAGAAGCATTAGAAGGCAGCCAAGGATCATCGGTTGAGAACTCAGAGGGTTGGGAAATAATGGAGTCTGTTGCCATTTCCCACTGTGTGCTCTCATTTTCGCTGGCTTCACACAGCTCTGTATTCATCTTTTCAAGCAAGCTCTGCCTAAGAGAGTAAAAAAAAAGAGAAAAAAAAAGCTAATTAATTGAATCTGAAAAAAAATAAAAAGTCTTTAAAAGACTTACAATTGATCAACAGGGTCTTGTCCTTCCATGTTTTTCTGGGAGGCAGATGGTGGGTCCCATGTATGAAGCGCTCTCCGCCAGAGCCGGACTTGCATATCCCAAGATCTGCGACTATATTTGCGGTATTTGTTTGGAGTGGAAGGGTGGATCCCAGGGACGCGCAGACGCCTGAACATTGAGGAGATATAATACCCAGAAAGCTTAGTTATACTTTCACTACAATCAGGAGAACATCCAACAAGACAAATGATGTGAACGGTTGTTTGCAACTTAATTTTCACCAATTCTCACTTTGGAACCTGCTGCTCATAGTTCTGGTAGCCACAGGTATTCTTTCCATACTGAATCTGTTTTTGTCTGCGCTTTAAAACTGCCTCATTGGTCTCAAAATGTGACGGGTCAGCGTTGTGGGGGCACCACTGTACCCCTGATGGTGACCTAAAAAAATGAGTTTGTCATTTAATCGGCTGGAACAAGAAGGCCAAATAAATAGACACTTATTTATTATTTACTTATACACCAAGAGAGATTTCCCAGACCTCTTGATCCCATCGATGTCTTCGGTTCCAACAGCAACACTAGCTGTAGACATCTTCAGGATGCATCGCTCAAGGATGGAGGACCTGAATAGGGAAGAAATGCCACGCTTTAAAATGGTTGTACAAGACATTTAGAAGTGAAGACAAAACATCCTCCCTAAAACATCCTCTACACGACCAAAAACATCTTAATAACAGACCTGCGAGGTTTCTGAACAGCAGAAGTCTTTTCTCCATTATGTGAAGCTGACTGTGGGGTTTTAGAGCAGCTGGGTGGGTGGGGGGAATCCACAGTTCATAAGACAGCATCAAGTTTGCAATTTGTAGCAAAACCATAGGAGAACAAATTACCATGTCATTCCTCAATCTAGATATTTACCTGACAAGACTATCATACACTGTACTGCAGCCTGGTAGAAGCCAAGGTTCTGGGCTACATGGAAGAGAGTGTGTTTTAGTCTTGAAGTCTTGGGCAACATCTGTTGGCCACAAGTGAAAGGGCAGACTTCTAAAATACAAAACAAAAGACACAGAGTCCCTACACGCTACAGTAACACATCATTATATTTAAAAATGAACAAGCATAACTTTGAAAACATACAACCGCGACTCAAAGGGGCTTTGAAGAAGGCTTTCTATGCGTGTTGTCATGATTTTGGCTACAGCCACACGACACGTTGCGTTTGACAAAGCTTTTTATCAGCGACAGGTGTATCGGGGGCGGGGCTGTACAAATGAGACAGGTAGCCTAAGGCCAGTGATCATTAAAACAAATAATCACAATAAATGATTCATGATAAAATAATGTAATAATAACGTAAGGAAATAATTGCGCTTTTATTATGAAAATGCCTAGTACACAGTTTGGTCGTTCCCACAGAGAACAAGTTGTCAGTATTTCTATTTAGACACAGCCTACCTTAAAGTCTTGGTAACAACAACAACAAAGAACAATGTTCAGCTCTTTGCAAAAAAGAAAAGAAAAGAAAAAAGATTCAGTTAATTTAACTTCTACACTTTTTGTTGCGGCATGGAGTAGAAGCTGTCAGAATGGAACCAGCCTATTTGAGGCTTTTCAGCTAAATGTAAACAGTAAAACAACTATGAAACACAACACAATTCGTGAAAACACTTTGAACGTAACAAAACATAAAACGTGTTTAGCCAACGACTATTGCATTGTAAAAAAAAAAAAATCAGGGTCAGTGTCAGTGACAACAACAGTTTGATCACTTTTGAAATAGATGAGCAACATCACCTATGAACAGCACTAGTTTACGACAGCCACGCACTCTTTACGACATCACAATAGCAAAATGGCGTCTGGCAGTGGGGTAAGAAATTTGCTAACACTTGTTTTGATTTCTTTCTTTGTTTAGAATTGCAATCTTTCCGCTTAGAATTGCAATCTATTCGCGTTATTTTGAGATAATTTATGTGCGAATTCAGTTCTTAAATTAATATCTTTAAAAGTGTTGAACGTTTTATATCGTAGTAGTTGGACGATCCAAACTAACATATCCGTCACGCCAGATGGTTTTGTTTGGTCATATAATAGAGCGAAAACAGAGATGTATTTTAATTATGAGACGCTTTGGAATCTAACAATATCTAGTATTATTGACCGACAGTATGGATTTTTTTTCTCAATTAATATTCGTGTATCATGTTCACAGGCCTTTCTATGCAGTCGAATGAATACAGCTGACGTGATTCACTTATTTAACATGTTTATAATATTTTCTGCTTGTTTTTGTAGTCCAAGAATGATTTTCGACGCAAATGGGACAAAGATGAATACGAACAGCTGGCCCAGAGACGAATCACGGAAGAGAGAGAGAAAAAAGATGGTAAGCAAATACAACGTTGTAACCTTTCAATATTTATTCAGTAAATTCAGGTTAATTGGGACACTTTTTCCAAGTCATCTCAATGGCAAAACATGTCCCAATAAACCCTGAATTCAGCCTACATCAAGTGTGTTTTTTGTTTTGTTGTTTTTTCAAGAGCGTCAAGTACAGGGTCAAATAATCCCAGATACTGAAATATTCACTTTATGATTTAACCTAAATATATAATCCAATGAAATAGTTTATGGCAGTATTTCCTATGTCATACATTTTTTTCATTCTCCAGGCAAGCCTGTGCCCCCCGTCAAACGGGAGCTTCTCCGTCACAGAGATTATAAAGTGGATCTGGAGTCAAAACTGGGGAAGACTATCGTCATCACTAAGACCACGCCACAGGCTGAGATGGGAGGGTGTGTATCTGCTGTACAATTGACTGTAGTATGACGACGTCAATATGAGTTCATGAAAGAGTGATCACTGGCTATGTTTCCATCCAATGTTGTGAATTTAACTTGTGCACAAAATAGGAATATTCCCTAAAACATTTGCGCACAAAGCACAGTTTCGATTCCATGTTTTGAAAAGGATGAAATCGTTGTTTGGCAAATCGGTGCAAAATATCTGTAATAAAAATAGAAGTTGCTGCAGTCGGCGAAGCCAATGTGGCACTTCTTTTGTATGGCATAAATTACCTGCGCAGATGAAATGCAATAAACGCTGTCATTTGGTCTTGCATTCGGACGCCCATTATTCCCAACCATTTTGATGCTCAGGGATTTCAGAATGATCAAACTTACATTTGAGACACTATGCAATGAAATCGTTCTGCTTTTTAGTCCAGTTATCCAATCACATCCTCTGTTGAGGCAAAGTCACATGAATTCTTTGTTGCTCATCAAGGGATTTATTTGGTAAATGTGTTTCCATCTGAGTTTACGGTCATGTACGAAAAATATCCATCACAATTGAGTGCACATAAAAGTTTTTTATGCACAGCTTGGTGTTTCCTCCATGCAGCTTTTTTATGCGATGGAATAATTTGCTTTTTTGAGGGTTGTTGATGGAAACATAGCTAGTGCTTAGAGATGCACCGATACTAAATTTCTCCGGCCGTACCGACAGCCGATTATTCTGAATGATATCGGCTGATGCCGATACCGAAATCTCTCCCAAATAATGCTGAAAACTATACAGGGAACCTTCTCATTTAGTACACTACAATATTAGAGGTTAAAATTAACAACAGAGCTATTATATTCAACTGCTATTTATTTCCAGGTATAATATTTACACTTAAATAAAAGCTGAAATGTTTGTACACTACTCAGTTGCACATAAGGTAGTTTTTATAAACACTTCTTCATGGCAAATTTATCCAAACATGCATATATTTAACAGTAAATAAGCTCTTCTCTAGTGTTTTTATAGCTAACGAACAAACTGTGAGCATTGGATAACCTTCCTGAGGTAAATGCAACATTAAGTGATTTTGTTCACAAGCTGTTTTATTGGCGTCTTTCCGCGGTTGAAATGCAAATTGAGTGATTGAGTCATGATACAGATTTCGGTAGGTTGTATTGTATCTTTCAACATGCCTTCTTATATTCAAGCATGTTTTTCTAGATTTAATTTGTATTAAACTGTAAGAAAAGACTCGCGCTCCGCACTGCTGCTTGAATTGAGGCGCTAGAGCAATCTGTCATGTCACATTTAAGAGCGTCAAAACTTAAATTTCGTGATAAAATGTACAGAATTTGAAATCTGAGACTGTTTCTTATCAGAAGTAACAGAGCACAAAGCTCTTTGCGATTATTGGATGGGAGGTGCTACAGATAATGTTTGATGTAGGGGGAAATATCTGGCAACCCTGGCTTGATCTATGGGTGATTCATAGTGTCAAATAAAGCCTGCATTAACGTCGCTATTTTTTAACTGTTAAAGCATTGTTGTCTCGTTAACTTGCCCTAAAATCAGCACGAGAGATTTTCTTCACACACAGTCTGACATGTTTTTCCGCACCCTTTTGATTGACAGAACATAATCGAGCCCTGATCATCGGCTGTTTTTAGTGAAAATAATATCTTTAATCGGCGATACCGATTATTGGCCGATACATCGGTGCATCTCTAGTGCTGTGTTGAAACGGGTTGCCCAGAGAGTTTTTTCATTGGCTGCCTGTATTTCAGCTCATTGGGCTATTTCTGTTACTGTAATAGAGTGCATTAGTGCCAGTCCACTTTTTCAGCAGCTCTGGTCTAGGAAGTATTTTTTCCATTCATTTCTTCTATAGGAATTTCAAAAAAGTCTTTGTTAAAGAGTTATAAGCCATGAACCAAGTCAACCAGCTACGAGATGAATCATAACATTACAAACTTTCATTTGAAGCAAAAAGGATTTAAAAACCGGACAAAAATACAAAGGTACAAGACTGTGTACTTGATGGCTTTAGTGAGGGAAAGAACTACAATCCCATGAAGCATTGCAAACTGCATGATCAAATTAAAAATTGAGAAATATAAAATTACACATTTGAAAATGTTGATTATGTGTAAACAAACAATATATTTTAAGATTATTGCAAAATATGCATATATAGTGAAATATTTAAGCATTTTGAGACTGAGTGTAGGGAGACCGACCCGATTACGTAATTAGCGGTGCTTCATGGGAGTAGGGGGGGATAATAAAGAGATCTTTTTGGCACGTTTTGCTTGTTTCGACTCAGATTGGTGAAATTTTCTGTACAGCTGGCATTATGGGTAATGTAGTTTATCACCACGAATTCCGCTATTAAACACAATTATTTTAAAACTAAGTTGAAATAAGGGGGGCTGACAACTTCAACAGAAGCAAATACTATCGATTAACATCCTCATAGCTCACAGTAGGGCTGTCTTTAGAGGTATGTAAGTTATCATTAAAAATCTATTTCCCTATGGAGAAAATGAATGGAGTTTTTGCTTCTGGAACCTTTCTGTTGCACTCTGTTGTATCTTTGTCAATTAATGATATTTGTGTCAACATCTTTTTCTCTCTCTCTCAGGTACTACTGCAATGTCTGTGATTGTGTAGTAAAAGATTCCATAAACTTCTTAGATCATATTAATGGTAAAAAACGTAAGTATTGTGGTCTTTGTTCTTTTCTTGTTTTTTTGTTTTTTTACAACATCTTGACTCAATGCAATATGTAAATTCCTATTTATACATTTGTACCTGTACAATATTTAAATGAATATTTATACTATCTGTACATACTGTATCTTTTTATACAGTGCTTAGCATAAATTTACACACCCATGCTAAAGTTGACTAAAAAGAGGAATAAAAAATCATCACATACCCTTCACCATACCTAGAGATTGGCATGGGGTACTTTCCATAAGATCATCTCTCAATGCAAATCAAACCAGCTATTAGGCTAACTGAAATAAAACCATGCCAATCTTTAGGTATGGTGAAGGGTATGTGATGATGTGGGGTTATTTTAATTCCAAAGGCCAAGGGAACTTTATCAGGATGCATAGTATCCTGGATCCATAAAATAACTGCTTTTTAAAAAAAAAAATCTGCCTGCCTCTATGGAAATTTAACATAGGGGTGTCCTGACTTATGCCTCCTGTATTTTAAGGAAGAACATTTATTTGTGATACATTATTCATTCACAAAGAAAATTGGTGTCCTTGAAGGTGGGATTTTTCCTAATTTTTTTAATTAAGGCATTAAGATCAAGTTCCAAAAGATTTTTTTATTTTTTTATTCCTCTTTTTAGTCAACTTTAGCATGAGTGTGTTCACTTATGCTAAGCATTGTACGTTTCTTTTTATGTGCAGTATTCTGTACATGCTACTCTTGTAATTCTGTGTCTAGCTGTAAGTCTTTGTAAGCACACTTGGCCAGTAGCATTTTCTAATTCAGTACATTTATGCCCATTTATAGATCAGAGAAACTTGGGGATGTCCATGCGAGTAGAGCGCTCTTCATTGGACCAAGTTAAAAAACGTTTTGAAGTGAACAAGAAAAAAATGGAGGAAAAGCAGAAGGAGTATGATTTTGAGGAACGAATGAAGGAGTTGCGAGAGGAGGTCAGTGTTGAAACTGAGGTTCATTTACAAACACATATTTGTGTTTTTTGGGACAAATTTTAATGGTTAAATTTAAATTTTAGTTATCAAAAAGTATGTCTAATTAATTGAAATCATGAAACTTATACAATTTAACATTTTATTAAAAGTTTAACAAAAATGATGTTTAGGGCCCTATAAAATGCATTTTATTGTTATTAATATATATATATATATATATATATATTTTTTTTTTTAACCAAATTCTGTTTTCTGGATTCCATTTTAAAGGTTTAATTAAATGGTACTAATCAAATAGCATGTCTAATTATTGGAATTCATAAAAACAACAATTTATTCATCCAAAAATTAAATAATTAATTATTAATCATATGAAATAAAACTTTTATTTAAAAAGTTTTAATAATTTATTATTATTATTAGTGTTAGTATTAGTGTTAGTATTATTATTACATTGAGATGTTAAATTATACTGTACAACAGTAAGATATTTCTGTCAGTTTCTTCAAAAGTTAAACCGAACTTTTAACAGATTGCCGGGAAGACCTTAGAGTTTCCGTGTTTAGGATATGACGATAGTTTTTCTCAAATGAAACTGCAAAAAATGCTGATAAAGTGACTCTCAGAGCAGCTCTGGAGAGGAAGTTCTCATATAATGCAGAGGCTGAAAGCACAGTGAGAGTCACGTATGCTTCAGTGTGTATGACCTGCTTTTTATTTATTCAACAAAAATTGTACAAATTCCACATTATAAGGTTAATTACGTTTTTATGACAGGATTTCACGATTTCGTCTGCGTTTTCTGCATTGTGAAAATCATAGGGCCCTAAGTATATTACTACTCAATTTATAATTTGTTGCCCTGTGTTTTTTTTTTGTGTGTGTTTTTTTTTGTTAAGGAGGAGAAGGCAAAAGCATACAGAAAAGAGAAGCAAAAGGAAAAGAAAAGAAAGGCAGAAGAAGACCTCAACTTTGAAGATGACGATGAAATGGCTGCTGTGATGGGATTCTCAGGTTTTGGATCCTCGAAAAAAGGCCACTAATCACTCATTTCCAATTTTCACCAAGGCCTTCTCTGAATGGGTTTTTCTGAACTGTATGAACATTTTCAAGAACTTCATTATTCCTTCACAGGACCAGACAGCTTTTTTTATCGCAACAAACTGTGAAATACTCCTGATTCAACATGTGGTAAAAACCTTTAGTAGGTTAACCTGTTTTTGGCCCTTGATCATAGAACATCAGCTAACTCCGTCATTCTAAATTAAACTTCTTGTTATAATTAAGTTTTTGTTATATAAGGTCATTGTGTAAATAGGGCTGCATTATGCATATATGCTTTTATCAGTTGTGTCTCAAGTAACCCTTTTACCCCTTCTGCACATAGAGACAGGAAAAGTTCAAATTAAAACATTACCTTTTTTTTTGAAGACAAGACTTGATGCTTCCATTCTTCAATGTGTGTGTGTGTATGTATGTATATATATATATATATATATATATATATACACTAGGGATGCACGATATATCGTCCATCATATCGGTATCGGCCGATATACGTTCGTTTTTAATGTTATCGTTATCGTCCCAATAAGAAAATTTGGCCGATAAATAATGTTATTATATCCTTCAACTGAGACATTTCAGATGTGCACTGTTAGCCATGATGGTTTTGAATCGCTTGAAATATGATTGGAATCACTTCAATAAAAAAAAATACAGTTCAGTGCAATATGCACAGTGCAACTCTGACTTATAGGCTACATAAAATTATAATGGGAACATTATAATTGTGTGCTTGGGACATTGCTTTTAATGGTGAGTCTTTTGTTTTTGTAATCAGGCTCTCAAAAATTACATAAAAATTTAGATTTATCGGCCAATATATTCGTTAATGGCTTTCAAATATAAAGAATTTTCGGTATCGACCAAAATTTTCAGATCGGTGCATCCCTAATTTATACACACACACACTGTAAAAAAAATTACATGATCAATAAGTTGTGACAACACATGTTTTTACATTGCTTTAACTCATCAAAATAAGTTATACAAGATTAAACTCATTTAAGTCATTTTAATGTAATTTAAGTTGAAATGACTTAACATCCAACTTAAAAATTGAAGGCAGTTACTTTTTTTACAGTGATATTTGTAAATCTGCCCGTAAAAAAATAAAGACTAGCTTAGTATATTTTTATTTTTTAGTCACAGAACAATTAGTTTGATATCAGTTGTAGAATATTAATTTACCCTATGTAAGCAAACACAGTGCATTCAAGTAAATGCATTCATACATTAAATACATTTAAGAGGAACTATAAATCCTGTTATTGACAATTAAGCAAATGACTATGATTCTGGAGACTAATTACCAAAAACTAAAGTGAAGGAACAGTTTCATCTGGTATTGATTTATATAGTAGATCACCACCTGATGGTGCTATTGGATCTCATGAATTTACTTTATATGCAAAAAGCACTTAGCAAAATAATCAATAAAATAGGTTAAATCAAAAGTCAGCATCTGACATTCTAAAGGATGTCTTATAGACCTCGTCAATGAAAAAGACCAATTCACAAGATAAATATTCCAACAAAGACCAAAATGTTGATTGATAAAGGGAAGCAGCTCAGCTGTTCACACAGTATACGAAGAGTTCTGTGGCCTTCGGTCAGAGACACATGGTGACACGTAGCCAGAGGGTTCAGGCCTTCATTTGCCTATAATGCCACATTGCCATTGTGCACAGTTAAAGAGGAAATATAGCATGTTAGTTTTATCAAAAATGAGGAAAAACTTAGCACCAGTGACAGGTTTGTGATCTCAAAGACAAACCTGAGACCATAGACTGTGAGTTAAAAAACGATCTATAGCATGAGTCATAAGATGCTCTAATAATTGAATATAAAATCACCAATAATGGCTGAAGGAAAGAGTGTCTAAAGAGCCATTGCAAACGATAGTTTCCACTCAAATAAATTCAAGTCGTTACTTCTGAATTCAGTGTGGGAGCTCCTTTTAACATTATTGACGTATAAACAACAGAATGACATTACCTTGAATCAAGACAACTCACTGACTTTGCCTCCAAACATATTTCAATACACCCACTGTACCACTTTCTTCTGCGCTAAGCGGCCAGGAAATGGAAATAACTGTGTGACAAAGCAGGGTTATTGCATGACATCAAATAAATGTATAACTATATCTAAACAAAACATCCGTTTACAGGTTTGTGAATCACATACACATTACAGCTTCATCAAAGTGAATATTCAGTGATGGAAGAGATATTTCCATGAACTAACCCCTACAGACCCAAGAACAGGAGCAACTGAATGCTTGCAACTCATAGTTTCCAGCTGTGGGTGGTAAATGCAGTTCAGACAGGGACTGAACCAGGCGCTCATGTTGCAGGTCACAGTCAACATAATCATTCACACTAAACGTTTTCTTTTTGCAAATGAGGTATTTCGTAATTTCCCACAAAACAATTTGGGTGCGTGTTTTGAAATTAAGCATATACAAAAATTGCACAATTTAACCGGGTTTACTTTATAATTAAAAAGTGTAATTGCCAATAGTTTTATATATAAAAATAGCTGCTATTATCAATCAAAATGCTAAATCTAAATGTGGATTTTAAATCTCCATTTAAATAATAATCTAAATATTTAGCTGGGAAGCATCATTAATGGCAAACGAAGCTCTGAACCAAAAGATGTGACTATATGACTATAATAAAATCACAGTCTTTATAACAGCATATCATTATTTTCTATTGTAAACTTGACTGTCCGTGTGTGTTATCATTTCTGCTTGCAAAGTTAGCAGTCATGCACTGTAAAAACAAATATGATCAATAAGTTATGACAACATATGTTTTTACATTGCTTTAACTCATCAAAATAAGCAATTTCAACTTTGTTAAATAGGTTCTACAAGATTCAACAAATTTTAAGTCAGTTTAATGTGATTTAAGTTGAAATGACTTAAACATCCAAGTTGATTGTACTTAAATTTAAGGCAGCAACCATTTTTACAGTGATACTGCTCATACAATGGTTTTTGCTTGTGTTACTTAGAAGTGTGATTGGCAAAGGTTAATTGTAAGTGTGTAATCCTCACTAAATGACTTTTCTAAAACTGGCCAGTTCCACATCATTTGATTCTGAATTTTGATAAATGACTTAAGAGTTTAAGTAATTTATCAAAATTCAGAATCAAATGACGTGGCAAATAAATATTGTTTTTTTTTAAACAATGATAGTGTGCAAAATGTCCAAATGCTTATAGTCTAGGCTACATCATTCTGAGGGGGCGAGGATGAATTATAATATTTCAAGAAATATCTTGTTTTTTTTTTTCATGAAGGGGCTGTACTTCCCCTATTTGTCACAACAATCATTAACAGGAAGTCTATGGGGAAGTGGATGTCATTCTTTCTTTTCATAGTGCTCAGGCGAATCCGGGGTGTTGGTTTTTTTTTGTATCATTTATGAAAATGTTGGTAAAATTTTGAGTAATTCTTCCACGTCTACATTTAAAACTGGGTGAATCAGTCTATTTTTGGAGTCTTCTCTCCTTTGATTTACTTTTCTTGATTTGACACCAGTCTCCTCGTGTTCTGGGTGGACATAGCGTCAGACACAGTGTGAACCCACTGTGAGAGTGGCAACATTTTTTCAATGCTTGAAGATATCAGGGATTTGATATTCATAAGCAAGTGTAGTAAATTTGGAACAATGAGTTTCGATGGTGTTCCATCCAAATCGGAGGTTCTGAGCTGGGATTCACATCGGTTAGCAGACTTTCTGAAGAAAGTAAGTTGCTTTCTCTTTTAATCTTTCAATGTCAAAACACTTGAATTGAAAATGGGTAAAAAAAACTGTTGTAATTATTATTACAACGTTTATTTTATAGACCTTCAGCACACATACTTATGAATTTAATACCAATTCCAAAAACTGATAAATGAGAGGCATTTGTTACAGCACCAATGAACCTAAAAATAGCATAGAACTTTGATAGACCAATATTTGATGTTAAATGATATTTAATATGACAATGTTGTTTATGTATAGGAGATATGTGTATATGTGTGCGACCCATTTTCAGCTGACATAATTTCTTTTTCATCATCTTTAGCGGAATCTAACTGGATGTGATAAGGTCATAACACGGTATAACATCAGTGGGCAAAGGTTTCTGGTAAGTACCATTTATAATTCGGTCCACTGGTTTTGCTGGGTCACAGCCCAAATTTTGCATTTAGAAAGCAGAAATTACCATTTTCAGCCTACATGTTTTTTTTGTTTTGTTTACATGTTTTGTTTTTTCATTTGTAAAACTCATAGTTTTAATTTAATTTTAAAATGTTATAAATAGGTATATTCTTTGTGGAGCACAGACCAAAATGACCCTTTGCAAAACAGATGATTGTGGTCTGACTCAGTGTAGCATCATTGTTTCCCTTGATCCAACAATTCTGGAAGTGCTGTTATTAGAATCTAAAACTATACCAAGAAATGTTAGAACTCCTAATCAGTCAGAATTAAATAACAAAAAAAATATGTTATAAATAAAGGTGTTATAAATGTGGGTATACAGTATACAAACACACACACACACACATACTGTAAAAAATTGTACTGTAAAAAATTATTGTTGGTTTAACTTAACGTAAGTAACCTTTGTAACCTTAACGTAAGTTCATTGAAATTAAAAATTCGAGTTAAGACAATTAAGGAGATTGGTTTGATCAACAGAAACTCAACACATTATGTTATCTGAACCACATGAATTATTGAAGTTGATTTGACCAAAGAAAAAATGTTTCGATAACAAATCAGGAAAATATTATTAGTGTGTGTATAGTGTGTGTGTGTGTATGTGTGTCTAAAAAAAATATTTTCACGATTTATCACATTTTTTCTTTTCTTTTGTATATATATATATACACCCACACACTTACAGTTTGATAAATTAATTTAAAATCAAGCTGTATTTTTATTTTAGAGTATGACTGAAAATGACCTTCAAAAGTTCCCAAAGCTTCATGCGCCGTAAGTACTGACTGCATTTTTTTGTTCCTGCTTATTTTGTGTATTTGTCATTCTTTTTTCTTTTTCTGGGTAAATCGCACAGTATTACACAGTACTCAGCCACAGTATTCAAAGACATGCTTTTTATTTATTCATTTAAAAAAAAAAATCAACTGTAGCACATCATGTATTGTACAGAGTAACAGTGTGCAAACAGGTAGAAACATGCAAGAACGCCATCAGTGACAGTGACATTAAAAAGGAAATACTGCACAGGAAAGATAAACCAAAGAAACAGATGTGGCAGGAACCATTGCGTTGATGCAGAAACTCTTATGTAGAGCATGTTTGGTGCGAAATGGTTGACACCCTCCACACCTCAATAACACTGAAATAAACAAATGTAATTGACTTTTCCCCAAAAGCCAATTTGGCATTAGATATGCCACAGTGACTTAATGGTAATTTGATTGTTGTTAGTTTATTGAGTGTCAGTGTCAGGTGCACCGAAAAGAGGACAGAAAAATGATGTCTTTGTTACCACATCCTGCCTGAGCTGAACCCTCAGTCAGTTCATAAAGAAATAATTATATGCTTTTCTGTCTCCTAAAACGCCTACTCAATTACATGCCAGCAGTGTTAGTTACACTTTGAGGATTTGAAACTGGTATTTCCCTAATATTTTTAGGCTTATCTCCAAGATTTGTCAGGAAATCAACAAAGAGAAGAAGAGATTCTTTCCACCGATTCCAGCAATAAGGCCAGTACTCTCTACCATCACAAATCTTGTGTTATATCTGAGATATAATATACCATTCAAAGTTTGGGGTTGGTAATATTTTTTAATGTTTTTGAAAGAAGTCTCTCATGCTCATTAAGGCTGCAATATTTGATCAAAAACAGAGTGAAAACAGTAATGTTGTGAAGTATTATTACAATTCAGAATAACTGTTTTCCATTTGAATATATTATAAAATGTATGTAATTTATTTTATGATTGCAAAGCTGAATTTTATGATGGCAAAGCTGAATTTTCAGCATCATTATTCCAGTCATCATTATTCCATATACCATTCAAAGTTTGGGGTTGGTAATATTTTTTAATGTTTTTGAAAGAAGTCTCTCAGGCTGCAATATTTGATCAAAAACAGAGTGAAAACAGTAATGTTGTGAAGTATTATTACAATTCAGAATAACTGTTTTCCATTTGAATATATTATAAAATGTCATTTATTTTATGATGGCAAAGCTGAATTTTCAGCATCATTATTCCAGTCTTCAGCATCACATGATCCTTCAGAAATCACTATAATATGCTGATTTGGTGCTCAAGAAACAGTTCTTATTATTATCAATGTTGAAAACAGTTGTGCTGCTTCATAGTTTTGTGGATACCCTGCTAAAAAATATTCAGGTTTCTTTTATGAATGGAAAGTTCAAAAGAACAGCATTTTGCAACATTATAAATGTCTTTAATGTTTAGATCAATTCATGATTTACTTCCCCTCATGTGGTTTCAAACCCGTGTAACGTTCTTTCTTCTGCGGAGCATAAAACAAGAATGTTTTGAAGAATGTTATTTGAGAAACTCTTTTTTTGCTCTTACATTGGAACAATGGACCCCATTGACTTTCATTATATGGACAAAAAAAAATCACTGAGACATTTTTCATAAAAAGTCATTCAGGTTTGGAAGCACATGAGGGTGAATAAATCAGTGGAATGAATTCATCATATAACTACCATATAGTCCATCTACTGTCAGTACGCGACTAACTATCCTTATTGTTTTGTAAACAGGCCATCACAACCAGTTCCCAGCTTCCCACAACCACCAGGTATGATACAAAGTAGAATATATTCAATGGTACAAGTTTGCTTTTAAAGATATTGTCTAGAAGTCACCTGCTCTTACTATTTTCAGTTGACCAATATGAGGATCAAGCGTGGGACCCTGAAGAGTTTGTAAGTCTCTTATGTGTGTCTCAAACTGTTTTGAAGTGATCAGCATCACATCTGACGGGCAGAACGCATGTATTCTTTCCTCATTAAGGACAGTGAAGACGACTACGAGGATCCTAACGAGGATAATAATTCAGAAGGTGATGCTAGCGGTGGAGACTATGAGTCCCCGGAGGAGGGGTCAGACAGTGATAATGGCTACGAGCCTCCTCCATCTGAGCCAAAAGAAGACACGGCCCAGATCTGTCCCGCTAAACCCATGGAAAACAGCGATTATGTTGGTACGCAAAAGTGGACACTTTTCCATCCTATTGCTGTCTCAGTCCTTTGGAAAAGTCATGATGGGATTCCTTGATTTATCAGATAATAACCGCACACGTGCAGTGAGCAGAAGCCAACCGCCTGTGCCTCCGGAGCGCCCGGGCCCCGGACCCTCTCTCCCTCATGTGGAGCGGCCGAGTGTGAGTCCTTCATATTTCCAAACAGTATGTGTCCCACTTAGTCTATAATTTTCCCTTTTTGAGTCTATAAACAATAAAATCTTTATTCAATATTAGGTTGGACAACATCTGAGAGAAGAGCGGCCCCTAAAAAGACCCCCAGGTAAAAGAGTATGTTTGTTCTCAGTGACAGCTAATCTGGGTGGGATGCTGTTGAACTGATCCACCTTTTCCCCCGTCCCATGCTCTTGTAGCACCTGCTGTAGACCGCAGCAAAAAGCCAGGAACTCTGGACAGAAGCCACCCTCCTCCTGTAGCAGGTCACTGCCACTCACACATTTATATCTTAATGCTTTTTTAGCAGATAATAATTCAGTAAAAATGCAATTCAGATTACCTTCAGGCTAAAGGGAAGTCCTTGACTGTATTGTGTCCTCACAGGTGGAAGGGGCACTAGCTCATTGGACAGAGTAAGTTTGATTTGTCCTACCTCCACATAGAAGCTGCCAACATCTGCTTTCATTTCCCACTTTTTTCATATCACCAACTTGCCTTTACCAATCACTAATTAAATAATATATTATATTAGAATTAATATATATTTTAGGAATCATGTCAGTAGCTATATTATATATACACTCACCTAAAGGATTATTAGGAACACCTGTTCAATTTCTCATTAATGCAATTATCTAATCAACCAATCACATGGCAGTTGCTTCAATGCATTTAGGGGTGTGGTCCTGGTCAAGACAATCTCCTGAACTCCAAACTGAATGTCAGAATGGGAAAGAAAGGTGATTTAAGCAATTTTGAGCGTGGCATGGTTGTTGGTGCCAGACGGGCCGGTCTGAGTATTTCACAATCTGCTCAGTTACTGGGATTTTCACGCACAACCATTTCTAGGGTTTACAAAGAATGGTGTGAAAAGGGAAAAACATCTAGTATGCGGCAGTCCTGTGGGCGAAAATGCCTTGTTGATGCTAGAGGTCAGAGGGGAATGGGCCGACTGATTCAAGCTGATAGAAGAGCAACTTTGACTGAAATAACCACTCGTTACAACCGAGGTATGCAGCAAAGCATTTGTGAAGGCACAACACGCACAACCTTGAGGCGGATGGGCTACAACAGCAGAAGACCCCACTGGGTACCACTCATCTCCACCAAAATTGGACAGTTGAAGACTGGAAAAATGTTGCCTGGTCTGATGAGTCTCGATTTCTGTTGAGACATTCAGATGGTAGAGTCAGAATTTGGCGTAAACAGAATGAGAACATGGATCCATCATGCCTTGTTACCACTGTGCAGGCTGGTGGTGGTGGTGTAATGGTGTGGGGGATGTTTTCTTGGCACACTTTAGGCGCCTTAGTGCCAATTGGGCATCGTTTAAATGCCACGGCCTACCTGAGCATTGTTTCTGACCATGTCCATCCCTTTATGGCCACCATGTACTCATCCTCTGATGGCTACTTCCAGCAGGATAATGCACCATGTCACAAAGCTCGAATCATTTCAAATTGGTTTCTTGAACATGACAATGAGTTCACTGTACTAAAATGGCCCCCACAGTCACCAGATCTCAACCCAATAGAGCATCTTTGGGATGTGGTGGAACGGTTTGTGCATCCCACAAAACTCCATCAACTGCAAGATGCTATCCTATCAATATGGGCCAACATTTCTAAAGAATGCTTTCAGCACCTTGTTGAATCAATGCCACGTAGAATTAAGGCAGTTCTGAAGGCGAAAGGGGGTCAAACACAGTATTAGTATGGTGTTCCTAATAATCCTTTAAGTGAGTGTATATACTTACATATGCAGCATTATTTATAATTATATAACAATTTATATATGTATATATTATAGTGTGTATGTGTGTTATAATTTATGAATCAATTAACAAATACCATTATTAGGTTTTTTAATCAATATATATTTATGTGTGTATACGTCACTCATTATTGTTATTATTCTACTAGGCCTATATGCTTGAAATATAAATGACCTTTTCCCCGCCTAAAATTTTCCCCATTTTAAAGTTCCATTTTGACTAAAAACAATAATAATTTATATTTTAAAATCTCTCTAATAATATTTTTTTTCTGCAGGCTGTCCAACCGCCAAGAGGGTATGATTTCATTTAATTGAATTTTTGTTTAATACTGCATGTGCAGTTTTAGAATGACAATATTTAAAGTCATAATTTACTATTATTTAAAGGAGCTGTATGTAAGAAATTTATTTCAATTAATCATAAAATGGCCCTGAAATGTCACTAGACATTAAGAAATCATGTGCATTTCAAATACTTATATCACTGACAACAGTAGTCTGGCCAGGATATTGTCATTTAAAAAGTGCAGTTGCAGCCCTCAACTGATGTTGATGATGTCATGTTGTGTTTTGGTCTGATGCTCCGCCCTCCACCTATCTACCAATCACGAAGTCAGTAGTGTTGCGGGATCCGGGTTGCCAGCTCTGCTCTAGTTACCACAGCTGTAGCTCGTCACGCTCCTGCTGGATCCTGCAGCCGATCTGGCAACCTCGAATCAGGGAGGAGGGGATACACCCAGGGGCGGATCTAGGAAAATATTTATGGGGTGGCAAGAGGGGGGCAGGAATTTTTGAGGGGTGGCAACATGGCAGACGTATATATACTGAATTTAATCACAGTTAACACAGTTTGATGAGAAATCGTATGTGTAACACACTACAAAAGGGCATTATTTGTATCTGTTTTGTGTGTGTGTGTGTGGGGGGGGGGGGGGGGGGGGGTTGGGGGTTGAACTATACTAAAAGTTGAACTATACTCAGTTGAACTATACTCCACAGTGATGAATCCTAAAACAAGCTATAAGCTGCATACCGGTTTTTCCCATGGAAATCTGTGGTGAGTGCAGAGTGCACCTCTGTCCCTCTAGGGGGGTTCGGGGGCATGCTCCCCCGTAAGAAAATTTTGTGCTTTTTAATGTTAAATTCATCAATCTGGTGCACTTTGAGAGTTCAAAATAAAGAGCTCCAACCCATATTCAGTGTGCAAATTGAACAAAAAAAAAACTCAAAACTCTTTTTAGTTGTGATATAGTGTCTGTCTACATTACACTACTATATAATAATAGTTATAATATTAAATAAAATACCCTGTGAACATTCACACGTTTGCTTTATCATAGGCTAAAATTTATCTCCATAAATATTAAATAATATTTTCTTAATTCTGCGCATGTATTTTTACTTACTTACATCAATTGCTCGATCAATATTATTATCACATATTTTACATTTATATTTTTAACTGTACACAAACAACTTAATATAGCTAAGTTTGTGTATATTTTACACGTAGTAAAATACTGTAGGCTACTGCTTATAAACACCAGACAGATAATGATATATGAAACAGATGTTCTTTACTCATCTCACTTGCACAAAATAAATGCAGTAATATAAAGCATAGAAACGCACAGGTGAAATACACTGAAAATGATATATGCATTTAAAAATTTGGTCGGGTTGAAAACTTATCTCTCTGGTAATGGAACTCGGTCGCTGTTGTCTCTTGCTCTCGCTGTCTCCCGCTCTCGCGGTCAGATCACCGGAAGTATTTGCCCACACAATTAAGTACGAACGTCAACGGTCGTCATATTATGCACGGAGCGAATTCACTGCAGTCGGACATTGGAGATTCCCGTTCGTAAATTGTCAAATTGGCCATAACTTTTAATTCGTTGCCGCCAACTGGGGTGGCAGCAGGGGTGGCAAGGCTTTCCTTTAGGGTGGCATTTGCCACCCTATGCCACCCCGGTAGATCCGCCCCTGGATACACCACTCTACAGTAATTTGACAGTGTTTGCAGTACTAGTTTTGGCCACAATCTTACATACAGCTCCTTTAAGATCTCTTATTAGTTTGTTTACTTTAGCCTATAGCATGGTCACAATGATATTACTGAATGACTGCTATTACATCTGTGCACATAGAATATGCTATTTATAGGTCACAGTGATTTTGCCAATTAAGACATATTTTGTTGATCCTGAAACAACATTCCTGTCCAAAAACTGAAAAACCTAACCCTTATAGTAACCCTAAACTTGACATAAACTGTCAACTTGACCCTCAAATCTGCTTGGTTGATTGGAATGTTTTTCCAGGAACATGTTCTACTTGGTGAAATCACATTCATAGTAGCGGTCAATTACTAAATCTCTGTTTTAAGTATGATAGGTTGGTATGATGCTTTTTTTTCCTACAGCATTACTGCTGCTCCTCTCAGACTCCCTGCAGTGGAGTGTCCAGGAGACCCAATGAGAATTCCCAAACCCTTACTTCCTCCATCAGGGGTGCGAAGAAGTGCCTCCTCTATAACACCAGGCTACTCTCAAAACAGGTCAGATTCAGGAATGTAACACTACGCCATTCTATTCACAGAGCTGCCAATGTAACCTGTATTTCTTTTTCCAATAGGCATCTTGACAGACACGAGGTACGCATAAAGCACACACACACACACACACACATAGCCTTGTCCTAATTGTTTGTGCAATTCACATGATATAGCAATTCACTCACATAATTTTACTGGGGGGGGGGGTTCTCTTCAACAGTTTCACGATGACAGTAAGTCATTTTCTTATTTTGTGTATTTGCATATTTTGATGACAGAATTAGTAAGAAAGCAAACAAACGCCCAATGTTTGAATACTCTGTGATTTTACAGCTGCCAGGCACAGCTCCAACACATTTCCACTGCACGCCAGGAATCCATCGCCAAGACCGCCAGGAACCCACGGACAGCCTTTTCAAACAGACACGTGTGTATTCAAATGAGATTAGAGACTTGATACTACTCAAGATTATGCTGCCAAATTAATACTGAAATTAAAAAATACGAGTTAAAGGTGCAGATACTCCACTATATCTGACTATTTCTCTGTCACATTTCACAGTGTTAGCCCCAGTCGATCACTACCGGCAAAACTGAAGGAGGGTAAGCACGGATTGCACTAGTTTGATTTATCTTACTATATATCCAATGAAAATAACTAGATCCACCTTTTATTTTGTTGAATGAAAGCAATGAACGATCAACTGAGAAGTACAAGAGCACCACTACCACCACAAACAGACATGGGCGGCATGCAGGTACAGAACTTTAAAGTGCTTGAGCTACTGACAAGGGTTGCCAGGTCTGCACAACAAAACCCGCCCAATCCGCTTGGTAAGTAGTGACGTAGGGAATCCTGTTTCCGGGTCCAAGCCTCCATTCGTTTCAATTGAGGGCGAATTCCAAACAGCGTTTTTCCACCCTTGAAGGGCACTTCGGGAAGGGGACGCCCTTTGTAGGAGCGTTCCAAACAGAAGTGAACAACTGAATCCCTTCACGAAGGGCCCTTCCACGAGTCTGTTAGCGAAGGTAACATGCGATGGTCACTTCAAGGAAGTAATTTAATCATTTATGGTCATGTTCTGCCCTTCGGAGTGAGTAGGGCATAGGGATGCACACTTCCGATTGGAATTTGCCATGAGAGTACTGTCTTAACAGCCATTTATGAGCACTATTTATTCATATCACACGTTTAAGCTTAGCTTTTAAAACGTTACAGTGTATACAAGTCTTCGAGCTCATGGCGTCCCCGACATTTAAATATTTATAAAAGACATCACTCTAATAAAAGGGTCATGATTTTTCAGTAGTGTTACACCACACCGTGAGTGTGTATTAGCACCGTTTGTTGTTTGCTTTTGGTAGCCTATCTACCGGTAATAGAGCACTTGAACCCGGAAACGGTGACACGTGACGTCAGATTTGGATTTAACAGGCGGATTGCTAATCAAAACTAGCCCAATATAGGGTCCTCCGGTAAAAAATCTCGACTACGAAAACTACCCGCAGCAACGGAGTAATAGTAGCCCAATTCTGCACTGTTGTGCCGACTGCTGCTGTGCTGACAAACAATCACACCACTACCCGACCAGCAGATGGCGCCCTTGTATTTCCTTTGAGGTGCTCCTGGAATAACTGGAATCTACTTTCTAGTACACTGGGGGAAAAAATGTGATGTAGGATTTACTTTGAAACGATATTCACTCAGAAATTGCTAAACAAAGGCAATAAACTTTACACTGAATAAAACATGAAATTTTGAAGTGGAAAGACAGAAAAAGTAGGCCTATTTTCTTGTAAAACATAGGCTACTACAGTAATCTTTATCTACTGCTTCAAAAAATCATTTTTTACAGTGTATGGTGTATTTTTACTTCTCCAAGGCTCTGGTGCCTTTTTTCTTACAGTGCAGGCCTATAGTTAACAGCCTGTTCTATGCTACATTTGACTCATGTTACTATTAGGTATTTTGTGAAATGTTGGGTTAAATCATAATTGTCTCAAAAAATCAGAGAAAACAGACAAACATTTCTCATTAGTCTTTGTCAACCCAAATATCTTATTATTTCTCCATTTATAGGACATGGATCCAGCTTGGTATGTGGGTCAGATCACCCGCGGTGAGGCAGAGAGCTGTCTGAGAAGAGTTAACAGGGTGAGGCGCATGCGTTCCTTCTCGTTGGAATTGGGGAAAAAATATATAATTTTCAGGTTAACAAAGTTAATTTGTTGAAATGTGTGCCCTGTAAGGATGGGACGTTCCTTGTGCGAGACAGCTCAAATCGATCCTCTAACCAGCCTTACACACTCGTGGTCCTGTACCAGGAAAAAGTTTACAACATTCAGATCCGCAGGTCGCAAAACGGATTCATGCTAGGCACTGGGATGAAATCCTCAGAGGTATTCAAACTGTTGTTGTTTTTTGTCTGTAATTATAGCCACACGCTCAATGACCAAAGCTTGTAACACTGTTGATTGTCTTTGGCAGACTTTTGAGCGGGTTGGCGGCATTATCAACCAGCACAAACACACGCCACTCCTTCTTATTGATGCTAAGAACCGAGAATCAAGCCAACAGAAGCAGTGTGCTCTGATTTATCCAGCTGGATATTAAACATAGGTTACATGACTAATTTACAGTAACTACTTTTGCTTTTTCATTTCATGATTTGAATTTTTTTTTCTTTCTTTTTTTAAATCAACACAATTCAAAATCTCTCAGGTGTGTGTAAAAATGTCTCTGTTGACTTGTTAAACATTGTACAGTTTTTAAATGCATAGCTGCACATTGCATAGCACTGGGTATCTGTTCAGAGTAGCCTATTTTATCACTATTTTGACTGTTATTGTTATTTCTCAAACAAATCAGTCTTGTCACTTTTATTTTAAATTTTCCACGAGTCCCTGTTTAATTGTTGTTAAATTCGTATGATCATGAAATATGAAATGTATATTGACAAGACAATAAAGACTATAATTCTACATGTGTGAGGAACTAATTGAGGATTAATCGCACTGTCAACGAGGATTCATGTTTGCCGCTTATTTCTCTGAAATCAATCTGTTCACCTGCCATTAATAATTTGAAGACTCACTTTATAAAGGTAAAACGCAGGGCACAGTTTCCCCTAAATTATCTCACGTCTATCAAACTGTCTCCAAGTTGACAACACACCGGTGCACAAAAGGGGATTCGGTTACAATGACTTTGGCATGAAACGTCAAAGCAACAGGCTACAATAACAATGCTGTTTGAGGAAGACTGGTGAAATTTATTATGATCTGACCCCCTATCTGACCCCCCGATGCCATTGTGTAATTATGTGTAGGCCTAATATAAAATAAACAAATATCAATCTTTGCCAATCTCCCTTTTCCCCAAAACATAATGTGCGTTAAGAGTCTAATTAGGCTACACTTATTGCAATTTACTGTAGCCTAATGGTAAACATTTTAGACGTGATCGGATATCAGGCTTTCGTCAGACAGGTTGAATTTAAATAAACATTTAAAGAAGTAAATTATGGGGTGCGGTATTAGCGAAATTTAGGTCTAAAAATGTAGGCACAACGGATCAAATGGTCAAATAAACCGTAGACTTTCAAGAAATCGCGCGCGATCAGGCTACGCCGAGACAGTGGAGTCGCTCTGCGCGTGCAGGAATGGGTGGTGCGCGTGCTCTGTTTAAGAATGTAAATTTCGTTTGAGACCCAAATGGCTCAAATTGAATTCGCATTATCTCAAGTGAAAGGGTGGGGGTAAGATGAAATAGTGGATACCTTTAACCACCCAACAGCTTCAAGTCATATACAAATGTAAACAAATTAACCAAGCCTACGGCATGATGGTGTCTTTAATATAACAACGTTTAATGCCACAGAAACCACATTGGAATTTGTATTCTTAAAATTAGTTGGATAAATTTGTCAGCACATGTTGTTTATTCATTTAATTAGCTATTTATTTATTTATTTATTCATTCATCTATCAATTTATTTCCCCTCATTTCACTTTAATAGTGAAAGATTAAAACACAATAATCTACTTATATAGTGTTAAATATGATTAGTTGAATACTGCAAATTTTAACTGATCCAGAACTGTTCCAATTTTTTTTAATTCAACATGTATGTGAGTGACAAACGAAATGTTTGTGTTGTGCATAATGATATATGAAGGTAAGGAATTATGCAAGGTAATTTTAATTCAGGAATGTAAATTAATACATTGTAGACACTCATGAAACTTAAGATATTTCACTGATATCTCCCTCCCCCCTCCCCCACACACACACACACACACACACACACACACACACACACACACACACAAACACACATCCCCAGAGGTTCCACCCCCCTCCCCCCCAAAAAGAGGGTTGATCTGTGACCGTGACAGCCAATCAGAGCAGAGAGGGTGTTACAAAACTTGTATAAATAGTTCAGGTGAGACAGGTGTCAGGTTGTGATGCACCTGACCAATCCACCTGTGTTAGACAGAGGCAGCAGAACAGTACATGGCATTTTCTCCCAGAACGACAGAACAAACAGAAAAAAAAGGGAGGAAAGCATGACGTCATTTGTTCCACAAGCCCTTTCATCCCAATTCCACAGCATGGGACAGGAGTCCCAAGAGTTCAGCCTGTACGGTGACAACTTCTACAGCACTCAGCCTGTCCCTAGTCCACAGCAAACCCTGCCGTCCGCTTACGATTTCGGAGAATATGCCGGACAGACCTCCAACCCTTACCTGTGGTTCAACGGACCTGGGCTCAATCCGGCTCCCTGTCTCAGCGGAGGGCCTCAGCACTATGGAATGCCGAAGTCATACATGTCTGCAGGTGGAATCGGAGGCTCGGACGGCAGCATCAGCTGGTTCTCCCTGCCGTCCCAAGAAGATTTGATGAAACTAGTGAGGCCTCCATACTCTTACTCAGCACTCATTGCGATGGCAATACATGGAGCCCCAAGCCGACGTCTCACTCTTAGCCAGATCTACCAGTATGTGGCTGACAACTTCCCCTTCTACAACAAGAGCAAAGCCAGCTGGCAGAACTCAATCCGGCATAATCTCTCGCTCAACGACTGCTTCATGAAAGTGCCCAGAGATGACACCGATCCAGGTTAGAACATAATCAAACTACTTCTTGTGTTTAGAATTTTTCTTGTGTTCTACTGTTTGGGTTTTAGTTCCGTTTTAGTTCATTTTTCAACTGCCAAAATAACATAAAGTTACTTCTGTTGAACAGGTAAAGGCAACTATTGGACCCTCGACCCAAACTGTGAGAAGATGTTTGATAATGGCAACTTCCGTCGCAAAAGGAAGAGAAAGTCCGACTTGGCCGAAGAGGAGGGAAAAGGCTATTCTGGATCGGACTCTCCTCTGTCAAGTCCTAAAGAGCCCAGCGACACCTCCGAGAGAGGAAACTCTCCAGTCTCTGCAGATCTGACACCATGTCTCAAAGGCTTCCTAAGTCAAATGGGTGATGTGGCTTCAGGCTCAAGAGAGGCTCTTCTTCCATCTCCTCTGGCATTGCCTTTGAGCCAAAGATCTTCTCCTAATGGGGCGTATGGCTCGTACTCACCGAGCGCAACCGTGCCGCAATGGGAAACCCACATTCCTCCCCCTGTCGTATCCAACATTTCCACTTCGCCTGCTCCATTCACAGACAGCTATAATGACACTTTGCTCAACCAGTACACTAGCCAGCTCTATCCCGTGCTGGGCTCCTCTGACTTGCTGTATCCACGGGAGGGAACAGAGGTGTAGCTCGGGTCATATAGCACCATCATGTATGAACTGTGGCTACAGGCACTTGAAGGAGCGGTCGGCCCGCATCGTGAGCCAAGTTCCCACCGCAGTGCCTGATTCAGCAGGTCCGAGTGGACACGGAGGAGATTCCCTCTATCAGACAGTTTGTGTGAACGCTCTCAAACGCTCTTCTCAGACTCACGTGCTGACATCATCTAAATCATGTTGTAGCTGAAAGACAACAGTAATCGCCCCAGGCGAACTGCTCCCAGTCCCGTTTTTTGTGTTGTGGTTTTTGTTTTGTTTTTGCAACAGATTTCAATCCTGTAACATTGAAGGCTGGAACATGCAAAAATGCACTGACTTTTGTCACAAATATGAATTTGTTCATTGTTCAATATTTTTTATTTGTATTGTTTGCTTTATATAATTTGTGATTGTAATATATATTGTATTTGCCAAAATAAACATGCATATTCGCAATTGCTACCGTCCTTATTGCTATCATATTTATAAGTGATGTTATAACAGTGCTGTTAACTTAAACTATTGCAAATGGTTTATTTGAAATAAGGCTGAAATAAAATATATAACTTTAAAATCTTAAACTGAAGAAAAATAGAAATCTTGCCTTGGCAACTAACTAAAAATAAATGTGTAAGTTGAAGTACTAAACCCTGTAAACAAAAAAAAAGTTGTTGCCTTAAATTTTTAAGTACAATCAACTTGTATCTTTAAGTCATTTCAAATTGCATTACATCAAACTGACTTAAAAAAATTAATTGAATCTTGTATAAAAGTTGAAAATTGCTTAACTTAGGCCCTATTTAACTTATAAGTTGCTTAACAAAATAAATAAAATGAAAACTAAAAATATTAAATATTAATAAATAGTACTAAAACAACATTAAAAACCTGTCATCATTTGCTCACACTCATGTCTTTTCAAATCTAGACTTTCTCATCGGGCTGAACATGAAAGAAGATATTTTGAAAAATATTTCTGGGGTTTTTTTCATACAAGGAAAGCCAATGTTGTTGTTTTGGAACCCGTTGACTTTCATTATATGGACAAAACCGATTAAATATTCTTCAAAATATCTTCTTTTATGTTTCACAGAACAAAGTAATACAGGCTTATAGCATAATGATGAGTGGTGACAGTTTTATGTTTGTTTGTTTTTAAGTGAACTGTCCTTTTAAGTGCTGGGTACATAATAAAACTCAACCCTGGACAGAAAATTTTCCACTATAATTTAAAGATTGAAGCAATAAACAAGACATTTCTAAAGCTCATTTAAAACCACTTAAAAGCTAAATTAAAACCGTGAAATGAAAGGAGGGAAAAGTTGAATACAACGGAAGAGATGCAATGCATCACAAAACTTTCACCCGTATTTCAGTCAGATTCATCATTCAGTGCTTATCAAGATGTGATGAGGCTCAGTTAAAGTTAGATCTACCTGCTATCTGCCAATAGAGTTAGTGATCCATCCCACATAAAGGAGACGTGGGGAGGGAGATCCCCAAAGAACCGTTAAACAACACGCCTTAAACACGAGAAGAAGTCGTAATTATCAGCGCATTTGGCTGACTTAAGTCCATTCAATCTGACCCACACCAAAGAGGAGGTCAAGGAAGAGAAAAGACTGCGAAAGGGACAATAAATGCAAATGCCTGATGTGTGAAAAGGCACAAACACTTCAAGCCTATGGAGACCAACGTGTGAATGTCAAAAAGTCTGTCATTACAGCCACTGACCCAAAGTAAAAGAAAGGTTAGGGGGAATGCAGCTTAAGGAACCGTTAAACAACAAACCCTAATCGAGAGGAAAAGACTGGTTTGACAGCCAGAGGGACAAAAAAAAAGTTCTATGAAACAAAACTTGTTCCTCAGGGTCTCAAAATCTTTGGTTGCAAACAGCTACTCAGATGAAAGACAATATTCCTCACAAGACAATAAGATCTTCATTGGAATCAGCCGAACTATGTAACATTCTAGAGAATTTATTTATTTACAAACATATCTGGTAATATCCAAAAAAGAATTAACACAAAAATGAATTTCCACTATGGTTACGTTTAGGCACTTACTATGGAAGTAAATGGGACTCCCTATGGGATTATTCAAAAGCAGAAATGTGAAGCTATATAATTTCATAAATGTACTTTTTTCTGTTAAAACTTCTGACTGTTCAAGTCATCAATTTCGCATTATGTTGTCATTGCAACGAAGTTAACAAAGGTTAATAAATGTTTTCTCCAGACTTAAATCACATTATCACGCATTTTGATTATGTCTTGTAGCCGTAGGCCTATTGAAACAGCGAGTATCTAAACGTTAACTGATTGTCTCTATTCACTTTCGTTACAGTGTTTTAAGAAAAGGAGAGACAAGTGGAAATGAATTTTTGTGATAACAACATTATGCCATAAGTGCTGTTTATTTAGCTAAATACTGCAATAGGTTAGCATGACTTCATCTTGAATGGCCCTATTTGAATTGGACTGATAAGGGTGTGTTGTGACATATGGGATATTGTACATTATAACTTGCAATACACTCAACTCGTTTATTCCCTCAGGGAGTGAATAGATGGCGTTCACACTAAAAAGCAGAAAACAGATCATATAGATTATGTGACACGCAGCTTGGTGGTTCTTTTTTTACTGCGTGTCAAGACTCGGGAGTGCAGATAAAAAGAAAGCAAATTTGAATTGAAGCAGTTTGGACCAGTTAGTTTACATAAGTGTTCTGACCTCAGTAGTCATAAAAGAACAGAAATGCTGAGGTTACTTGACTAATGACTGTCATGTGAATCGTCTGTCATCCCCGCTCCCTCACACCAAACTGACATTTGCTCTGCTTCCACTGGCTCATTTGGTTGAGGAATTTGTAGGTGAGGTGGAAAATAAAACACTGATGTAAAATAGGAAGATCATTCCTTTAGATTAGAGAATATGAGTCAGCTGTTCACTGCTGGTTTCAGCAGGGTTTCACCTTTCAGTTCCCTAAACCTGTTACCTCCTCTTACCTCCCCCTACACAATACAGCGGGGTTAAAAGTCTCTGACCACAGCACGTTTTAATAGTTTGAAGAATGTACAGTGAAGAAATGTAAGGATTCTGCACTGGGTCACTATAATTTGTAGCATGTGAAAAGAGAGGTTTGTACCGAAAGGTTAGATGTTCTTGCTTCATTTGCAACACATTCTAAAATCCATGTTAATATATATGTTTCTAGTTTTCCTATTAACTTGACTCATGCTGATAATACAATTGAATGAAAAACACAGGTTAAAAATGCCAAATAGACGCATTTTTACTAGTATCTGTATAATATTAAATAAATACACAAATAAATAAATAAAAGCCTACTTAAACAGATAAATATGGCCCAATTGTTTCTACAAAAAGGCTCAGATATTCTTGCTTCCTTCAAAAATGATTGGTTGTTTCAACCCATGTTTGGGTCAAATATGGACAAACATAACCATTGGGTTTAAAAACTTTAAAAATTAAAAAATTAAACCAACAGTTGGGATTGTCCATATTTGACCCAAACATGGGTTGAAACTACTCACCTAATGGATTATTAGGAACACCATACTAATACTGTGTTTGACCCCCTTTTGCCTTCAGAACTACCTTAATTCTACGTGGCATTGATTCAACAAGGTGCTGAAAGCATTCTTTAGAAATGTTGGCCCATATTGATAGGATAGCATCTTGCAGTTGATGGAGATTTGTGGGATGCACATCCAGGGCACGAAGCTCCCGTTCCACCACATCCCAAAGATGCTCTATTGGGTTGAGATCTGGTGACTGTGGGGGCCATTTTAGTGCAGTGAACTCATTGTCATGTTCAAGAAACCAATTTGAAATGATTCGAGCTTTGTGACATGGTGCATTATCCTGCTGGAAGTAGCCATCAGAGGATGAGTACATGGTGGCCATAAAGGGATGGACATGGTCAGAAACAATGCTCAGGTAGGCCGTGGCATTTAAACGGTGCCCAATTGGCACCAAGGGGCCTAAAGTGTGCCAAGAAAACATCCCCCACACCATTACACCACCACCACCAGCCTGCACAGTGGTAACAAGGCATGATGGATCCATGTTCTCATTCTGTTTACGCCAAATTCTGACTCTACCATCTGAATATCTCAACAGAAATCGAGACTCATCAGACCAGGCAATATTTTTCCAGTCTTCAACTGTCCAATTTTGGTGAGCTCTTGCAAATTGTAGCCTCTTTTTCCTATTTGTAGTGGAGATGAGTGGTACCCGGTGGGGTCTTCTGCTGTTGTAGCCCATCCGCCTCAAGGTTGTGCGTGTTGTGGCTTCACAAATGCTTTGCTGCATACCTCGGTTGTAACGAGTGGTTATTTCAGTCAAAGTTGCTCTTCTATCAGCTTGAATCAGTCGGCCCATTCTCCTCTGACCTCTAGCATCAACAAGGCATTTTCGCCCACAGGACTGCCGCATTCTAGATGTTTTTCCCTTTTCACACCATTCTTTGAAAACCCTAGAAATGGTTGTGCGTGAAAATCCCAGTAACTGAGCAGATTGTGAAATACTCAGACCGGCCCGTCTGGCACCAACAACCATGCCACGCTCAAAATTGCTTAAATCACCTTTCTTTCCCATTCTGACATTCAGTTTGGAGTTCAGGAGATTGTCTTGACCAGGACCACACCCCTAAATGCATTGAAGCAACTGCCATGTGATTGGTTGATTAGATAATTGCATTAATGAGAAATTGAACAGGTGTTCCTAATAATCCTTTAGGTGAGTGTATATGCACCATATAGAGTATAGTATTTCAACATAAATTCCATTAAACTGACTTATAAAAAAGTTGAAAATTGCTTAACTTATTTTGATGAGTCAAAGCATATAAATATATATATATGGCTTTTAATAACTTGTACTAAAATTAAAAAGTCATTTTTCATTACATTTTATAATCAAGTTTAGATTCAATGTAAGCTGAAAAAAAATACATTTTGAAGCATTCTTGTGATTACAGCAAGACAAATGTCTGTAACACTAGGAGTTTGATTTATATTTAAATTACATTATAAATGTATAGGCCTATCCCACTGTGTTAAGCAATAATCTAATAATGAACCATAATGATGCTTACAACTTGAGTGTTTTACCGGAGTAAATGGCCAGGATTTATGGCCCCGCGGGCCGCGGCAGCGCATGACAACAGTAGCGTAGGACTCACTGATATACAGATATGCCAATCATTTCTGCCTGTAACATCCAGAGTCCCTCCCTCAGCCCTCGATTCTTCTGGTGTTTATTGTCAAAACACAAGATTCACTGTCTCCCTACAACAAATTAACTCTACATTTAGATGTGTCACTTTGATCTAATTGATTGAATCTATCAACACAGAGTATGCCATGTGTTTAGCCAGGTGCTTAATGTGTGTGATACTGTAAAAATACTGTTTTATAGATCAGTTAACCA